GAAGCGATCGGCGCCGGCCGCTTGTGTTTTGAGAGTATAGAATAACAGTGAATCAGGTGCTGCCTTCACATAATCTGATACTCTCCCATCTTTCTATGCTCTCCCAAAGCCCTAGCGACCAGTGCCGACCAATAACAGACTGTGATTAGGCAACGCAACCCTCCTGTTCCCCAAAGTTACTCAAAAGCCCAACAAGCAGCCAGCGCCGACCGTCTGCGGCTGCAGGATTGGAGTGCTGTTGCAGTTGGAGCGCGTCGACGCGCGTTTCCTAATCTAATGTATTTAGGCAAATAGAGGGAGCAACCGCCTTCTACGTCCTCTCCCCTAACCAAGACTCAGGCTCAGAACACAGACGACACTGAGGCGGAGGCACAGAGGCGTTGCCAAATTCCACCTCACCCCTCCCATCGCCAACCACCTGATCAGGGTTCTTCAGTCTAATAGGGGCGCTGACAGCAGAACTAATAGCTAATAGCCCCCGGTTTATGCATCTTTTACGGCTCCCTACACGAGCTTCTTTGGAAGACACATTCCACGCTGATAGTGGGCGGAGACATGGGTGTGCCCAGGCATTGTGTCCTGCACAATGGTCCGTACCTCTGTCGAATACGATAAAGAGGTGTATCCCAATGAGGAGGGCATAGTGGTACTTAGTCTCCGCCCATCTAGTCAGCATGGACTGCGCCCTAAGCCAACAGCAGCAAACAAATGGTTGAACGAGTAAATATATGAATGAGTGCGAAAATAAATAGGTAAGCAAAGAAGATTCGAGGACTCAAAGGAACCTCAGCGACTAGTCTTCCTTTCATTTCGTTTTCTAAGGGAATTCAGCTGAAGATGACATGACATCTTTAGTGATTTTTCCAAATTTTGAGCAGCAAACAACTATATCGAACTAACCGTACTCCCTTTGTCGCCTTTCATCCCGGTTGGACCCATTGGTCCAGTTTCGCCTTTCATTCCTGGAATACCCTGCATCCCAGCTTTACCAGGTATACCTAGAAACACAGCATGTGAGACCATACAAAATCCCATGCTTTACTTTTGAGACTGCCGGCAATATTTCGCCGGCGGTCTTAAAAGTAACGCAGAACGTGTGCGGTCGAGGTGCGGTCGGCGAAATATTGCCGCAATTGCCCGTTTTGAATTGATACGCATTGATCGATCGTACGAGCAAGTACTACGGCCCTAGATATAGCCCTGGGCTGTTTCAGTACCGCAGAGGCGGAGAACAGCTGTAAGACCTCAAGCCAAAGATCGCCGGTGCATCACAAATAGGTAGAAGCTGGCGCTGACCAATGGGGGTATCAAATTACGGAAGTGAAATTCAGTAAACAACTTACCATCAATGCCCCTTTCGCCCTTCTCGCCTTTTGATCCGGGAAAGCCTGGCGATCCATTGATTCCGGGTGGGCCTGGTCGCCCAAGTTCACTGACCCGAGCGTTAAGGTTTTTTACATGCTGAAAATATTCGTGGTATCTGCTGATTCATCAAGTTGAAAAAGAAGCTGTCACTCACTTCCAGAAGCATTTCCAGTTCAGTGGCATGCTTGTTGAGCTCATTTTGAATGGCTATCACAGCGGCTGTATCCAGGGCTGCCCATAATGGCCGTAGTATGGCTAGTAATAGCCACACTACCACCCACATAACCTAGTTGAGGCTATGCCAGCTGATCGAGCGCAGTTCTCTTCTTACACCTAAACGGAGATCGTAAGTCAAGAGGTCCCATCGAATTACTTGTTGGACAAGAACTGGAGTGTCTCATATTAGATACATAAACCACACTGTCAACATTGACCGTGTGCGCGGAGCAAGGCTCACTATTACGTCCCACTAAAGGCGCGCCCCCTATCGTTAGCCTCTCAAAATGAGTAAGCGTAATTATAGGCCTGGCTCCACCCATATGATCGATATGGATTGTGCCTTAGTTAGTCCACTGCAGTTGCTGCAGTAAACAAAATGCACTTTCCATTCAGACGGAAACGTCGACTGACATGACACATTCGATTTCTGTTACTAGCGTGCGGGCAGAAGATCCGAGGCCCTGCAGATGTTCGCAAAAGGATTTAAAAGGTTCCACAAGTGCCACGTCAAGCCGAGTCAACTAGCTAGGGAATATCGACTGCCGACCTTGTCGACATCTTCCCATTGCCAAGACTAGGTTTTCCGGGGACCCGCACTATAGGAACAACAATGGAGCATCTCTATGTACTATATAAACCAGTATGTCTGTGAGCTGAAGTTGTGTGTGTCTGCATGTTTGTGTGGTGACGCCGAGAATCGGGCCAAAGAAATTCATTTTTAGGAAACTGAGTAGGTCGCATGCAATGGGTGGAGCGTTCGGAGAAGTGAACGGTGCCGAGAAAAAAATTCCTAAAATGCATCAGGAGCCTCTCAAGAAATGGGGAGTATGAGTGAAAATGAGCAAAGAGTCGGCAGATCAAGTGAGGGAGAGACAGCAGTAGGGAGTATGTGTGTACCAAACGGTTGGTGCCGTTCTGCGATTTCTCAACAATAAGGAGGGTGCCTTATAAGAAATTTCGACCACTGTGTTCTAGGGAGGATCCGACTAGCCCTCTGAAAAAGTCTGTGGGGGGAATACCCACTTCACACGTAAAAGGAGAATCGTCCGATGAAGCCGGGCGTTCCGTCTGTTGAAGATTAATTTCGTGACAAGCGCATGATATCGCAGAGACGAGCGGAAACTTTAACTACTACATCTTATTTTTCGGTGCGTGCCTGCTTCTGATACGGGGAAGAGGGGTCACCAATGAGGAAGGTTCAATGGTTATGTGGCCCCGCCCAATCGGTTACTTGCGGAAAGTGTATCTAAAACCTATCGTTGGGTTAGTGAAGTGCAAGTTGTCAATCAGTGCTCTTGTCAAAACCGGATTTATTTCTCTCTGATAGCCCTTCATCTGCACTCTCACTCACTACCTAAAAACTTAGCGCTATCTGGATATTCTGACAGCTCTCTCCGGAAAGTTTACAACACACCATCATTGATTTGCTAAGGCGCTATAAAAACAGCCTGTGAGGAGCATCCGTCTCAACAAAAACCATACAGATCTAACAAAATCAAATCCGACACCAAGTGGGCAAACGGGAAGCCGGCAGGCCTGGGAGAAGTAAGAGTTAGTCATGCAATGTTATGCAATCTTTCTTGCAACACTCTTCACTGGCTTGAATGGAATTCGAGAAATCGGATCCAAGTATCCTCGCGTCGGACCAAAGTTCACAACACACTTAGCTCCAGGGATTTCAGGCTTTGCCTACCCGGATACGTCGCCCTGTAGTGGACATTTAGAAGTTTGTGCAAAAGGCGAAAACGGCAGTGCACTTGATCAATACAGGAAAAATCATGTTAGGCTGCGTTTATACTTTGCGGCAGCGCGTAGCGCTTCCAGCGTACGCCAGCGGCAGTGCCGAAGAGAGGATGCATATCGATCTAGCTTCACCAGCGTCACCAGCGGCACGCTGGCGTACGCTAGCGTACGCCAGCGTTTCTCCAGCGTTTCACCAGCGTTTTGCTAGCGTTTGCAGCGGCAGGGGAGTAGAGACTATGTGGCCGTAAGAGACGCGCAATCGATGTGTATAGTAGAGACTATGTGGCCGTCAGAGACGCAATCGATGTGTATGGTAGAGACTATGTGGCCGTCAGAGACGCGGAATCGATGTGTATTGTAGAGACTGAGGGCGAGTGAGAGACGCGCAATCGATGTTTGTACCCTCCAGCTCTCCCATAGTCTCTACTCCCCTGCCGCTGCAAACGCTAGCAAAACGCTGGTGAAACGCTGGAGAAACGCTGGCGTACGCCAGCGTGCCGCTGGTGACGCTGGTGAAGCTAGATCGATATGCATCCTCTCTTCGGCACTGCCGCTGGCGTACGCTGGAAGCGCTACGCTACGCTGCCGCAAAGTATAAACGCAGCCTTACTAGCCCTGAGACACGTTCTGCCTTCGAGAAAAACATTTTGCACCCCCTTCCACCTCCTGCGCAGGCTTTCGTTGTACAGGCTCCCCTTTTCATCCCTTCCAGCCCGATCCTAGACACCATCATGGATTCTCCCAACTTTCCACCAGTCCCCCCCCCAAAAAAAAAGGCTACCGTCGACTGGACAAGCGTCTGGGGTGGCGTGGGGGCGGAGTATGTATACATAGCGCCAGTGGGACAAGGAAAAGCTAGAGAAGTCAGCAGTCGAAAACATTTTCCTCAAAAACAACTACAACCCCCTCCTCCCCGCACCGACCAAATACGGGACCGCCCCCCTCCGCTGGAGATCTCATACTTAAGGAGAAGCACTGAAAAAAAACAGCATCCTCGACTGTATATATTTGCTACCTTTGTTGTTTGTTTGCTTGTTTGTCTGGCCTGTGAACATACGAAATCTACAAAAAGCAATCAGAGAATTTGGGTGAGGGTTAGGTCAGGGTTATGGAGTAAGGTTTACAGAGCCCTCATGTATCACGCCGAGCCCCGCCCACTGGGGTGGGACGTGCAACTGAAGTGAGAGATGTCATGGTCAAAATTTTGAAATCCGTTGCGGGACAGACCAGAGACTGAGAAGAAGTAAACAAAGGACAGCAGTGGGAACATGGATAAAATTGGAAAGACGCACCGGCAATGGATAGGTGGGCGGTGCTTGCTACAAAAGCAAACAATTTTATTGATCAATCAATAATCTAACATTCACGGAAGAAAATCGATCTTATGCGGAAACCAATACTACCACGAAATGAAAAGCAAAAATCTCAGGGTGTTCACGGAAGAAAATGTTCCTATTTAATGACTACCAGCAAGAACAGATCAGGCCGCTTTCTTATTAATATTGATGAATTGATAGAAATCTTCCTTCAAAAATGTTTTACAAATTTTGATGTACTACTAGACACCCCTTGAAAAATATTGTTATGCGGAACTTGTTCACAAAGAACTCCAGTGGGACTAATTTGAGGGATTTAAAGACTGAAATAGAGAGTCATATGCAAAATAGTCATAAATCGAAATGCTTTACAGAAAAGGCCTTCTGAAGGACCTTCTCGAGGAAGACTTTGACAAGCGATTAGTGCCGAGAAGTTTGGATTTAAAACAATAAAGAAGCCCATTAATGAGCCATGAAAGCCAGGGTACATTGTGTAATCTGCAGCGGATAGACAGCCCCCTCCAAGTGTCATCTGTCTGGACGAAAACACATGCCTCATTCAATGCTGCCGTTATTTCCGCGTAGATGCCGTGATCATTACAGGTATACACGGCTTACTGTTTAACGAATTATTATACTTTTATTTATAATTTAAAGACACATTTCGCGGTGGAGAACTGTGGGCTGTACACTTTAAGAGTGACTTTGTCAATGAAAATTAAACTATCGGTGAGTGAAAAAAATTAAAGAAACAGTCGAAAACGTCACAGACAAGGCTCACGCTGACTTTCCGCATTAGGACGAGGAAGTGAAGGGTGACGAGAAACTGTGTGCGCGGGAGAGGACTAGAGAAAAACGTTGGCAGTTCAGAAAGACGAGCGAAACGACAGACGCGATTTCATATTTTCAGGGTACAGCATCTTCGTGTGAAACACATGGGGGATCCTATTTTGCGGCAGGGGAGGGGGAGGGGTCGTATTCGGTAGTTGTTCGGAGAGGGCAGGGGTCGTATGTCGTGCTTGAGAGAAATTTGCCCGTTGGGGAAGAATTATTCCCGCTTGTTGACTTTTCGCGGTTCTTCCGGTTTCATATCGGCTTTATACTCCCCTCCTGCGCGCTTGACGGGAAATCTCTAGTGAAAAACTGAGAAATTCGGGAAAATTTGGAAAAACTGGTAGGAAGCTGAGATCTTGTAGGGAAAAGGTAGATAACTGCTGGGGAAGGGAAAGGAGCTTGCACTGGAACTCACTCCGAGAGGTGGAGGGGAGGGGTACTGACACCGCCATTTCACACATCACGATGCTGTACTTTGCATATGGTTACTGCAGTGGTCCTACAAAGAACTGAGCGCCTGAAACGAAGTTCTCCGTGGAAGGAAGGAATTCGACTCTGTTCGAAGGATAGTAACGGAAGGCGCCTTCAGTAATGTACGTTTGACAAAATTACAACCGAATTAGCTGAAAAGTTGCTGAAAAAGGTCAGGGATAAGGAAGTTGCTTGATCGTTCTATCAACTATGGTGGAATACAGTACCCGTTTGATTACCGTATAAAAGAGTAAAAGAGCGGTGTGTTACCCACTGACCTCGCCACTGCTTAGCAGACCGTCGTCAATCCTGAGTGAGATTTCTCTTTTCCCAAACCTGACTTCCTATTGGAGATGGTGTTTCAGGTCAGTATCCTCAGCTCCAGAACAATGTGGGGATCTAAAGACCGTCAGGGTTCGAAAGACTTTGGATCCAGAGACCAAAGTCGTGATTCTAGAGACTACCAAAGTCGAGAGTCAAGAGATCAAACTACCAAGTCACTAGAAGTCAATCAAGGCCTTCAAAGTGAAGTACTTGGTGAGACGATCCCAGAGTTTGTCGCGTTCCACAACCTTCGAGGACAGGCCCAAGTGAGTCGTTCAACTATCTAGTCTGAAATATAACAGACTGCAGAGGTACATCATATCCCAGAGGTGGAGTGGGCGTGGCTGCGTACTTCATTTGGGTGGCAGCGGCTGCA